GAGGCGATGGGGTCAGTCAGGTACATAGGCAGGTGAGGGCGGTGTGGGCGGTGGGGGCGGTGTGTGCGGTGGTGCGCGGGCAGGTCCGGGCATACATTGGCAGCCTCGAAATCCTCTTGAAACACCTACAAATACAGCGGCGAAAGACTCTTTGAACAGAGCAGTGGAGGCGGTGGGGGCAGTCTGTTACATAGGCAGGTGAGGGCAGTGAGGGCGGTGAGGGCGGTGTGGGCGGTGCAGTCTGGTACAGAGGCAGGTGAGGGCAGTGAGGGCGGTGTGGGCGGTGGTGGCGGTGTGGGCAGTGGGGGCGCTGGGGGGTCCGGGCATACATTGGCAGCCTTTAAATACTCTTTGAACACCTACAAATACAGCGGCGAAAGACTCTTTGAACAGAGCAGTGGAGGCGGTGGGGGCAGTCTGGTACATAGGCAGGTGAGGGCGGTGTGGGCGGTGGGGGGCAGGTGAGGGCAGTGAGGGCGGTGAGGGCGGTGTGGGCGGTGGGGGCGGTGTGGGCGGTGTGGGCGGTGTGGGCGGTGTGGGCGGTGAGGGCGCGGGGGGGTCCGGGCATACATTGGCAGCCTTTAAATACTCTTTAAACACCTACAAATACAGCGGCGAAAGTCTCTTTGAACAGAGCAGTGGAGGCGATGGGGGCAGTCAGGTACATAGGCAGGTGAGGGCAGTGAGGGCGGTGTGGGCGGTGGGGGCGGTGTGTGCGGTGGGGCGCGGGCAGGTCCAGGCATACATTGGCAGCCTCTAAATCCTCTTGAAACACCTACAAATACAGCGGCGAAAGACTCTTTGAACAGAGCAGTGGAGGCGGTGGGGGCAGTCTGTTACATAGGCAGGTGAGGGCAGTGAGGGCGGTGTGGGCGGTGCAGTCTGGTACATAGGCAGGTGAGGGCAGTGAGGGCGGTGTGGGCGGTGGTGGCGGTGTGGGCAGTGGGGGCGCTGGGGGGTCCGGGCATACATTGGCAGCCTTTAAATACTCTTTGAACACCTACAAATACAGCGGCGAAAGACTCTTTGAACAGAGCAGTGGAGGCGGTGGGGGCAGTCTGGTACATAGGCAGGTGAGGGCGGTGGGGGCGGTGTGGGCGGTGGGGGGCAGGTGAGGGCAGTGAGGGCGGTGAGGGCGGTGTGGGCGGTGGGGGCGGTGTGGGCGGTGTGGGCGGTGTGGGCGGTGTGGGCGGTGAGGGCGCGGGGGGGTCCGGGCATACATTGGCAGCCTTTAAATATACTTTTTAAACACCTACAAATACAGCGGCGGAAGTCTCTTTGAACAGAGCAGTGGAGGCGATGGGGGCAGTCTGGTACATAGGCAGGTGAGGGCAGTGAGGGCGGTGAGGGCGGTGTGGGAGGTGGGGGCGGTGTGTGCGGTGGGGCGCGGGGGGGTCCGGGCATACATTGGCAGCCTCTAAATACTCTTGAAACACCTACAAATACAGCGGCGAAAGACTTTTTGAACAGAGCAGTGGAGGCGGTGGGGGCAGTCTGTTACATAGGCAGGTGAGGGCAGTGAGGGCGCTGAGGCCGGTGTGGGCGGTGCAGTCTCGTACATAGGCAGGTGAGGGCAGTGAGGGCGGTGTGGGCGGTGGGGGCGGTGTGGGCAGTGGGGGCGCTGGGGGGTCCGGGCATACATTGGCAGCCTTTAAATACTCTTTGAACACCTACAAATACAGCGGCGAAAGACTCTTTGAACAGAGCAGTGGAGGCGGTGGGGGCAGTCTGGTACATAGGCAGGTGAGGGCAGTGAGGGCGGTGTGGGCGGTGGGGGCGGTGTGGGCGGTGGGCGCGCGGGGGGGTCCGGGCATACATTGGCAGCCTTTAAATGCTCTTTAAACACCCACAAACACAGCGGCGAAAACTCTTTGAACAGAGCAGTGGAGGCGGTGCGGGCAGTCTGTTACATAGGCAGGTGAGGGCAGTGAGGGCGGTGAGGGCAGTGTGGGCGGTGCAGTCTGGGCAGTGGGGGCGCTGGGGGGTCCGGGCATACATTGGCAGCCTTTAAATACTCTTTGAACACCTACAAATACAGCGGCGAAAGACTCTTTGAACAGAGCAGTGGAGGCGGTGGGGGCAGTCTGGTACATAGGCAGGTGAGGGCGGTGGGGGCGGTGTGGGCGGTGTGGGCGGTGGGGGGCAGGTGAGGGCAATGAGGGCGGTGTGGGCGGTGTGGGCGGTGGGGGCGGTGTGGGCGGTGTGGGCGGTGAGGGCGCGGGGGGGTCCGGGCATACATTGGCAGCCTTTAAATACTCTTTAAACACCTACAAATACAGCGGCGAAAGTCTCTTTGAACAGAGCAGTGGAGGCGATGGGGGCAGTCAGGTACATAGGCAGGTGAGGGCAGTGAGGGCGGTGTGGGCGGTGGGGGCGGTGTGTGCGGTGGGGCGCGGGCAGGTCCAGGCATACATTGGCAGCCTCTAAATCCTCTTGAAACACCTACAAATACAGCGGCGAAAGACTCTTTGAACAGAGCAGTGGAGGCGGTGGGGGCAGTCTGTTACATAGGCAGGTGAGGGCAGTGAGGGCGGTGTGGGCGGTGCAGTCTGGTACATAGGCAGGTGAGGGCAGTGAGGGCGGTGTGGGCGGTGGTGGCGGTGTGGGCAGTGGGGGCGCTGGGGGGTCCGGGCATACATTGGCAGGCTTTAAATACTCTTTGAACACCTACAAATACAGCGGCGAAAGACTCTTTGAACAGAGCAGTGGAGGCGGTGGGGGCAGTCTGGTACATAGGCAGGTGAGGGCGGTGGGGGCGGTGTGGGCGGTGGGGGGCAGGTGAGGGCAGTGAGGGCGGTGAGGGCGGTGTGGGGGGTGGGGGCGGTGTGGGCGGTGTGGGCGGTGAGGGCGCGGGGGGGTCCGGGCATACATTGGCAGCCTTTAAATACTTTTTAAACACCTACAAATACAGCGGCGAAAGTCTCTTTGAACAGAGCAGTGGAGGCGATGGGGGCAGTCTGGTACATAGGCAGGTGAGGGCAGTGAGGGCGGTGTGGGAGGTGGGGGCGGTGTGTGCGGTGGGGCGCGGGGGGGTCCGGGCATACATTGGCAGCCTCTAAATACTCTTGAAACACCTACAAATACAGCGGCGAAAGACTTTTTGAACAGAGCAGTGGAGGCGGTGGGGGCAGTTTGTTACATAGGCAGGTGAGGGCAGTGAGGGCGCTGAGGCCGGTGTGGGCGGTGCAGTCTGGTACATAGGCAGGTGAGGGCGGTGTGGGCGGTGGGGGCGGTGTGGGCAGTGGGGGCGCTGGGGGGTCTGGGCATACATTGGCAGCCTTTAAATACTCTTTGAACACCTACAAATACAGCGGCGAAAGACTCTTTGAACAGAGCAGTGGAGGCGGTGGGGGCAGTCTGGTACATAGGCAGGTGAGGGCAGTGAGGGCGGTGAGGGCGTGGGGGCGGTGTGGGCGGTGGGCGCGCACGGGGGTCCGGGCATACATTGGCAGCCTTTAAATACTCTTTAAACACCTATACAAATACAGCGGCGAAAGACTCTTTGAACAGAGCAGTGGAGGCGGTGGGGGCAGTCTGTTACATAGGCAGGTGAGGGCAGTGAGGGCGGTGAGGGCAGTGTGGGCGGTGCAGTCTGGTACAGAGGGCGGTGTGGGCGGTGGTGGCGGTGTGGGCAGTGGGGGCGCTGAGGGGTCCGGGCATACATTGGCAGCCTTTAAATACTCTTTGAACACCTACAAATACAGCGGCGAAAGACTCTTTGAACAGAGCAGTGCAGGGGGCGGTGTGGGCGGATGTGGGCGGTGTGGGCGGTGTGGGCGGTGAGGGCGCGGGGGGGTCCGGGCATACATTGGCAGCCTTTAAATACTCTTTAAACACCTACAAATACAGCGGCGAAAGTCTTTTTGAACAGAGCAGTGGAGGCGATGGGGGCAGTCTGGTACATAGGCAGGTGAGGGCAGTGAGGGCGGTGAGGGCGGTGTGGGAGGTGGGGGCGGTGTGTGCGGTGGGGCGCGGGGGGGTCCGGGCATACATTGGCAGCCTCTAATACTCTTGAAACAGCTACAAATACAGCGGCGAAAGACTTTAGAGCAGTGGAGGCGGTGGGGGCAGTCTGTTACATAGGCAGGTGAGGGCAGTGAGGGCGCTGAGGCCGGTGTGGGCGGTGCAGTCTGGTACATAGGCAGGTGAGGGCAGTGAGGGCGGTGTGGGCGGTGGGGGCGGTGTGGGCAGTGGGGGCGCTGGGGGGTCCGGGCATACATTGGCAGCCTTTAAATACTCTTTGAACACCTACAAATACAGCGGCGAAAGACTCTTTGAACAGAGCAGTGGAGGCGGTGGGGGCAGTCTGGTACATAGGCAGGTGAGGGCGGTGTGGGCGGTGGGGGCGGTGTGGGCAGTGGGGGCGCTGGGGGGTCCGGGCATACATTGGCAGCCTTTAAATACTCTTTAAACACCCACAAACACAGCGGCGAAAACTCTTTGAACAGAGCAGTGGAGGCGGTGCGGGCAGTCTGGTACATAGGCAGGTGAGGGCGGTGGGGGCTTTGAAATACTCTTTAAACACCTACAAATACAGCGGCGAAAGACTCTTTGAACAAAGCGGTGGAGGCGGAGGAAGCGGTGTGGGTGCGGACACCTCTCGGGATATCACAGGCGCCGCCCGCAGGGGTCGGCGGATATATATATATATATATATATATATATAGGTATATTTATGTACATGTATACGTATAAGTATATGTATAGGTGTATGTATTTGTAGATGTAGATGTATATGTGGGTAGGCAAGCAGGCAGGCCGGCAGGCAGGCAGGTAGGTGGGTGTGGCAGGCGGGCGGGCGGACACGTGGGCGGGATGTATATCATCCGGGGTATACCTGTGTATAAGCACCATTCCATGCTGCACAAGGTGGGAGCTCCAGAAGCAGGTAGGTATGTGGTTCGGTAGTTGGGAGGAGCAGGTGGGCGGGTTGCATAATGCCCGGGGTGTACCGATGTACTGACAGCATTCAATTCTGCGTATGGTGCCCCAGTGCAGAGGAATTCTCTTGGAAAGCCTGGACGAGCTCCTTGCGGAGGCGCCCGCCAAGGTGGCTCTCTGCTCTGGGATGCTGTCGGACTAGTCTTTGCGGATGTTCAACCGCCCTTTGGGAAGTTGTGAAGGCTGGTGTCCTTGCGTTTGACGCCGGTGCCGCGCTGACTTACAACGAGTTGCAAGAGTCTGGCTGGACAGGCAGCTACGACAAGCTGCCACCCGACTGTATTCGCTGCACGAATTCCGTATAGGCGGCGAAGCGAGAAAGCAAGCAGAGAGATATTTCCTTCATCGCACGGAGGTTTGTGCTGCTTGGGGGTGCGCATGGCTTTGATGGTGCGGACGATCTTGATGGCCGTTTCTTGGCAGAAGTGCTGGGGCGCTTTGAAGCCCGAGTCGGCGCGGAGAACGTGGCGAAGGTCTCCCTGACGGAAGATGCCAGCGCACCTTTGTTGCACCAAAAGCATGTCGGGACATGCCCGTCGATGCTGGGGTCAAGTTCTTGTCAGGCAGCTACCACCTTCCCGCTGTCCAAAGTTGTCAGCTTCATCAGTGTGGAGCACTGTCGTGGCAGCCTCTTCGCAAGCGAGCTGAAAAGGGTCGGCAGCGACGCGCCAAACCAAACTCCCGGAAAGAGAGCCTGCAGCTCGTGGTCGGGCCAGGCGCTCTCAGCCGGTCCAGCAGGAGGCGGGGCGTAGAAGCTGAAGGGTTCCGAAGCGGGCGCTTTCAGGCCCTGCCCGGTCCACGAAAGTAAGCGGATGTTCATCGGCCGAAGCGACTTGGGTGATAAGGCATTCAGCGAGACCGAGCTGAAGGAGGCGAAGAGAAACCTTGCAGAAACATCATTGTGGCCTTGCTTCTGCTTGCCAGTTCCGAGACATCTACCGGCACCTACGTCTCCAGGATTGAGAGCTGCGGTAGAACGGACCCGCAACTAGCTGGGGTATCGCTTCCGGCCGCAGCCGCAGTCGGCCGTGCGTCCAAAGCGACTCACACGACACACTTCATGCACACCGAAAGGCAAAGAAGTCAACCGGCTGTGTAGCGTCAGCAAAACACAGCACAGTAGAAGCCAGAAAGTTGGAACATCAGCACCAATAATCCCAAATCCAGGTTCCAAGTTTCTGGAATTCACTAGAAGGCAGTGCAATGCAGGGAGGTGCCCTCTTCTGTCAGCTGCCTTCTGAAGTCTCAGACTAATGGCAATATTCTGCCGGGGGTAGGGGTGGGCAGGGGCGGGGCCATGGAGGTCCCGGAAGCCATCCCGGAGGAGCGACACCAAGTCCCTTTTTCTTGCGAGATGGAAGCTTAAAGTCAATACTGTATACAGCACAAAATTACATAGTAGTAATAGCATGCTATCTTATATATATATATATATGTATGTATGTATGTATGTATATATATATATATATATATATATATATTTGCTGTATTTTGATTTCCGTATTGTCAGCGTCTTATCGTCCGTGGGACGTGAAGGACTTCGTGCTGGGCCTCGTCCTCGCCGTCTCCTCCGCGCCCTGCGCCGGGAGCGTGGTCTGGGAGCAGAGGACGTGCTGGACTTGAGCCCCTCGGCATTTTAGGTTGCCTCCTCTTTGGAGAGGCGCATAGAGAGCGTTTTGGCAATGGGAGACACTAAACAGCTTAATGTAGGAACCTGATTAAGAAACCCTGGGCCTACAACCCCAAAGTAGTAGGATCCAGACCAGGTTCCTACATTACAGTCGGTTCTTGGGACTTGGGTCCTTCAGCGCTTTTGCGGTGGGATGCCGTGCTGCGACGAATGTTGTTGGTTCTTCGGAGTGCAGTGCTTAGAGCACAGTCGGGGGCTTCCAAGAATCACAGAGATATGTGCAATCCTGGACCTGCTTGTGTCAATTTACTTGCGTGTTTTCTACCATACCCTGCAACCTGAAAGATAAGCCTTGTGAGTGCAGAAACCCCAAATGGCTACGGCTCAAGATTTCGGCTCGAGGGAGAGAACACAGGTTTCTCGGGGTTCCTGAGCTAGCTCCTCAGTATGTCCGGGGCTCTTGCGGGCTTGTCTGCTCGGGTGGGTCCAGGGCTCACTTCAGATGCGCAAGCTGCCTTAGATGCTGCTCTTGGGAAGCCTCTTCCAGCCCGATTCGTTCCTCCTGGCATGCTTGACACTGATGATGACGATGATGATGATACCCATGCCAAAACTGGTGGACGTTCTCAGGACAAAGAGAGAGGGGAGAGTCCCCAGAAGAAATCCAAGAAATACGAAAGCACTATTGACGACGAACTTATGCAGCCCAACACTGAAGCGGAAAAAGTTGAACCCAACGAAGAAGCCATCCCCCTCAGCCAGCGAGAGACTCAGCCCTGGGCCGTCGACACAACAGGGCATAGAAGTGCCGACGCCAACAAGATGCCACTCGAGGACCGGGCAGGGAAGGGAGTTCACGAAACTGGCGATGTTGTTAGTTTAGAATTAGATGCAGGGAAGGGACCTTCTTCGGTTGCGAATTCAGGCATGAGCGGTGCTCCACAAGAGTTTCCTTCCATTGAGAATTCAGAATTCGGGAAGCATGAAGCCAAGACTTCGACGGGTGAAGAGGTCGCTGGCGCCTTTGCTGCTCCCCCTCACCTCCCTGGGAAAGGGTCTAATCCCCGTAAGCCTGCCAAACCGGGGACTTCCCCCAAGTCCTCCAAACCTGCTCTCGAAGGGATTGGCAGAAGCCAGCTGGGTCAAGCCGAACCCCCTAAGGACCGTTCACCTGCCTTCGGAAGAACTGGACCCCTAAATGCACCCCCAGTTTTCGCTGGAGGTCAAAATGAACCAACCGGAGAAAGAAAACCTGAACATTTCCATATTGACGACGAACCTGCCTGGCTTCCCTCTCTCAAAAGCAGCATCCAAGAGTTGAAGGACAAGCAGACTCAAATCTTGGAGGTCGCTGACAGCAATTTTAGAGAGATCAACAATCTTCAGCATAAGGTAGCCGATGCAGTTCCCCGGATTGAAGCTGTTGAAGCCCTCACCCATGACCATTCCCGGGAAATCAGGGAACTTAGAGAGGAAGTCCGTGGGCTCAGATCCAGATCCGTCTCGCCGGCACCAGCAGGGTACGCAGGACCACCAGCAGCCTATTCCGCCCCGCCATCGCCCCGTGCTGATCCACGCTACGACGATCTACAGATTGCATGCGGAGGCTGGCAGGACGCCAAGCGGCATGACATTGAGCATGAGTTGTCCCAGGCATTTGCCACTGCGGGAGGGTCTAATCTGGTACAAGACCTTATCATACCATATGCCAGGAGCTCTTTTGCAAGAATTGAATTGAACTATCCCTCGGGGTGCCCTATTGCTGAGAAACGACGCATCCAAACCAAGGTAATTCAGGCCTTGAAGGATCAACTGCCGGTCACTAATATTCAGGGCCAAGACGGCAGGAAGATATGGTTTACCCGCAACCGTAGTCCGGAGGAAAGGGCTAAACTAAGAGCGATTCTGTCTACGAAGGAAGCTCTACAGGGGCTCCGGCCACAAGTTGACATAGAGCACGATTGGCGCGGGAAAGTTTTTGCTGACGGGGTGAACGTGCTGGGATATTCAGGGCCTCCTCCGCCTGAGGGTGCCTTCCTTCACACCACTAACCGCGGGGATCACAGTGGATGGTGGGTGCACGTAAATAAGGCTGCCCAGGTATTGGGGGTCACAGCTCAACAGATTCACGACGCGCTATCACGCACCACTGGAGGACCATAGGGACATGGCAGGGAACCCCCGCAGAAAGGTGAGTCGACCAAACCACAGAAGGTATCGCGCAGGGCCTACCATGATCTTACAGTCCTGCACTGGAACTTGCATGGCAAATCCCTGACCCACATTGATAATGTCATCCATCAAAATGCTGATCCACCAGACATTCTGTGTTTGCAGGAAGTTGGAGGACTCAGCGGAATTAATGAAGTGCAAGCCCTGCCCTTTGCCATAGGCAAGCAGTCCTATACAGCCTACTGTCTGGACACACCCGAAAGCTGGAGAGGTGTGTGCATTGCCGTTCGTCATGAACTGACTGTTTCGACAACCGAGACCAGGGCTCACCCCTTTGGGGTCTTAGCTCGTCTTCGACTTCAAGGAGTTGACTGGTTTCTGGCTAGTCTACACTTTCCTCACGATAACCGAGCGAATTGTCTTGAGACTTGGAATTCAGGAATTCAGTTGTTGGAGGAATTTATTTTGCCTGCGAGAATTCAGGATCGCGTGGTCATTGCTGCTGATGTGAATCAGGATTTAAGCCTAGAATACGATTTGTTTGCACAGGTCCCCCGACTTAGGGCATGCATGCGCCTTGCAGGTCTTGATCTGCTCATCCCTGACAGGAATACGTGGCATGCCAGAGGACTCAGCACGAAGATTGATTTCATTCTTTTTAGAGCCCCAGGTATGGACTTTCAGTTGGCTGTTCGGGATGATTTGAGACTCGCTCTTCCTTCAGACCACTCAGCTCTCCTTTTGACGATTTTTTCCAGAATACCTTTCTATCGACGGAGACCATGGGTGACCCGTCGCTGTGGGAAATGGATGGCACCAGAGGCTGCTGTTCAGGAGGCCCTTAATTCCGTCGCCCGGGGACCCATGAGCCACCAGGTCATCGAATCCATTGCAAAACAAGCCAGCTTTCGCCCCCCGAATCTCCGCTATCAGGACGGGCCCGACATTAGAGAACTTATTCGACAACGCAAACTCCTTGTCGGGGAGGAAAGAGCAGCCATGATGGCACGAATTCGAAGTGCAAGAGAGTTGGCCCAAGTTGCTCATAAAGAAGATCTGCTAGACAGGGCCAGGAATGGGGATAAGAACGCCATTGCGCATATGCGTCGCTCGGCAGCAGGTTCACTTTCAGACGGCAGCTATATTCAAAGAGCTGGGGGACATGAGACAGCCCTCAGAGACCTGAAACATTTCTATGCATGCAAATTCAACTCGAAGGACCCAAACAGCCTGCAGCCTCTCAACGAAAGCCTCATCCGGAAACATGGGGATGCTCCTTTTATTCCCGTCACAAAGGACGAACTTCTTCAGTTACTTCAGACCTGCAAAGGGTCCACGAGCACTGGCCTTGACGGCATCTCGTATGATGTTTTGACCAACATTCTGCGTCATGACCTGGAGGACCGTTTGCCAGACTGGTTTAATAAGATTCTTGACGGCAAGGAGAAAATTCCCAAAGAGTGGAAAGAAGGTAAAATCACTTTCCTTCCTAAAATCAGCCGGCCCCTCAAACCTTCGCAGCTTCGGCCGATCTGTCTCACCAGCACAGTCTGTAAATTGTTCGGGAAGCTGCTCAGTGTCAGACTTCGTAAGACACTCCCTGACACACCTACTGCACAACTTGGAGCCCGAAAAGGCTGTCAAGTCCTTGACGGGATCACAACAGCCCAGATGATGTTGTCGCTTTCTAAAGCACGTAAAACCCCGCTACTGGCGGCCAAATTGGACATTGCTGCTGCTTTTGATTCAGTTCATCACAGGAGTGTAGGACACCTTCTTATGGAATCCGCCCCATGCAAGGAGGCACTCAGACTCTGGGACCTTGTCAGGAACAACGTTGTTCTTCTCCAAATGAACGGCGAGCATTGGTACCAAGAACTCCAGCAGGGGGTTATGCAAGGCACCAGCTATAGTGCTGAGCTGTTTAGCAAGCTCATGGCCTGGGGCCTACGCGACTTGGATACAAGATGGGATAGAATTTGGGGTCCCTGCATTCAAGGAATTTGGACGCCGCACATGCTTCTTTTCGCGGATGATGTTCTCGTCTTTGCACGCACACCTGCAGAACTGCAAGCTAAATTAAAGGACATTCAGGACAGTTTGGCGGTCTTGGGACTGAAAGTCAATCCTGATAAATGTGCCGCCCTGTGTAGTCCTGACTTTCCCAACCCAGGAGTTTGGGCCCGAGGA